ATAATAAAATGACTTTTCTCACAATACTGTTCTAAGAATTGAATAAGATACAAAAGAAAGCCCCTGACACAGTGCTTGCTGCCACAGGAAGGCATGGAGGAAAGGTTTACACTGGGGAGGGAACAGGGATTGGGGGCACCAGGATCACCTGGCTGGGGGAGTCTGGCTTACTCAAGTTCCCGGCCACTTGCAGGGCAAGGACCCTGCTTCTCCTTGCTCCGGGTGTGAGTGGTCTCAAACTCAGTGGGCAGGACCTGTGGTGTGGATAGACTCATCTGCAGTGAATGAGGCAGGAGTCAGGGCTGGCAGGCTCTGTGGTCTTTAGTAGGTACCAGGGGACCTGGGGGTGCCTCGTGGGAGGTTGTCCACAGAGTGAGCCAATTTGCCATCTGGGGTGTGCCTCTCAGGTTCCCTCCTGTACTCTGAGTTAAAAAGAGTCAGTCCTGGGCTGAGACTTAATCAGTCTGTTGCACGAGTGCTAAGCGACCTTGTTCCAGGGGAAATTGGATGGGGCAAAGTGTTTTCTAATTAGCAGGAGTCACTGACCTTTCCTTCACTGTCAGTAGCTTCCCACAGGGGTGCAGAGCAAGTGGGGCTGGAGCCCTGCATCTCTCTAATGGAGCTGACGTCCAACAAGGAGGTGGAGGGTGGATTCAGGGCCCTGGGAGGACTTCCTGTGGGAAGCAGACCTCAGGAAGGGCCCTCACTTCCTTAGTCTCCTGTCCTGCCAATCTCCGAAGCGTCCTAGGCAAGAGAAGCAGAGAAACACTCAAGCCACTGTGGTGGTCAGGACACACTGGTGGCAATTGTTTAAAACTTTAAAACAAGCTTAAGCAAAAGGGGGTTTACAGGCTCTCATAGATGGAAAGTATGTGGGACGGTCACAGACTGAGAGGAACCAGGGCTGGAAGGAGGTTCACCACCGCCAGCCTGCTTCCTCCCGGTCGGCCTCTGCTTCTCTCTGCACGCCAGAGGCTCTCAGACCTTTCCCCTGAAGGGAAACATGAGTGCCAGCAGCCCCGAGTTAACAACTATCATAGAAAATCAGTGTATTTCTCTCTTGTATATCATTCCCGAGACCTGAGTCACAGGCCTGTCCAACACTCAAGACTTTTTATTTTCTTTTATTTAGACAGATTCTCACTCTGTCCCCCAGGCTGGAGTGCAGTGGCCCCATCTCGGCTCACTGCAACCTCCACCTCAGGGTTCAAGCCATTCTGCTGACTCAGCCTCCCGAGTAGCTGGGACCACAGGTGCACGCCACCACATCTGGCAATTTTTTGTACTTTTAGTAGAGACAGTTTCACTATGTTGGCCAGGCTGTTCTCGAAGCCCGACCTCCCACCTGCCTCAGCCTCCCAAAGTGCTGGGATTATAAGTGTGAGCCACCACACCTGGCCAAGATTTTTCTTTTAAACCTAGAGTATGGAGAAGCTCACTAGGCAGACAGAATCAGCCACCATAGCCCACTCCCCTCAGGTAGTATTAGTTTGACTCACCAAGTTAGTGGGTCAGAACTTACACTGTCATCTGCTGTGCACCTGGCTGGCTCATGCATACCTTGTCTGTCTAATGTGGACCAAAGCCCTGTGGTGCACCCTGCTGGTTACCCCCAGTGGTTACCCTGGCACAGAGGAAGAAAGGGAGTCCTGGGAGGGAGAACTTCCCTGGGAGCTCTGGGCTGGCAAGTTGGGTACAGTTGTGTGACACAGGTCGGGTTGGCTACCAGCCTGGGCTCTGCTGTTGTAATCATAAAGTGTGTGTGTGTGTGTGTGGGTGTGTGTGTGTGTGTACAGTTGTTTACAATGACAGCGTGGGTGTCCTTGTTTGTTAGAGACACTGATATGCCACCAATCCCATGGTAAGGAAAATCTCAAGCCCTCCTCATGATTTCTGCCAGTTTCCAGGGACTCATGCTCCTGGCAGCCCTTGTGTCCCCAACTCCTGTGTCCTTTAGGGACCTCTGTTGAGCCCTGCCTTTATTCTGGCAGAATTAGATACAATTCACATTAAGAAAAATAATTAAAAAAAAAACCTCACAGCATGAGTTTTGATGAGATTTGGGGCCACAACCTTGGGTTGTATGGCACCTCCTCCTCTTCTTCCTCTGTTGTCTCTGGAGCTCAGAAACCCCAATTTCCTGGTCTGTGTTATGCGGAGGAGCTCAGCTCAGCCCGCACAGCTTCATCTCCAAACCTAGCATGCTGCCCAGATCAGGCGCTCTTCCTTTTAATAGAACTTATTTACTCTCCTTAGAAAGCAGTGGGAGTGAAATGATTCTTTTTCCTGATGCACATTTGTAAAACCGGGACCATACGACACATAATATTTTAAACCTGCCTTCCCCCTTACCATTGAACACATCACGAGCACCCTGTATGCCAACACACTGTTCACCATCAATTCTAGTGGCTGTATTACATTTTATCCTACGGATGTGCTCTTGTTTACCATCTAAACCCCTTTTATTGAACACATCAGTTATTCTGAACTTTTCAGTTTGATGATGGATGTTGCAGTAATTATTCTAACATACGCGCAGAACACCCAGAGGACATGACTGCTGAAGGGTGTGCTGGTAGGATCACAGGTGAGGATCTAGCAGATTGCCCCAGCTTCATCGCCTGAGCTCTCATCCTGTTTGCACTACTTTGAACTGCCATTCTGATCATATAATAATGATCTGGGAGAGCTCTTTTTTGGTTCAACCTACCTTTTCTTGTATCAGAACTGAAATGTTTAATTTGATAAATTTGAATAGTGGCACAATATAGAATTTACCATTCCTTAATATTATCAAGGCTGTTTCTGTTCATTCTTTTGGTTAACTTGGGAATCATTTTATCAAGTCTCTCTACTTCCCGATTTCCTTTCAGTTTTGGCTTGAAATGATATTCAATGTATACATGAACTTGAGTCACATCTTGCTGCCTAATACTTATCGAGTTACATTTTGAGTATTATGTATTACTCGTAATACATATTGAGTTACATTTTGAGTATTATGTATTACTCATAATACATATTGAGTTACATTTTGCTGCATAATACATTACCCCAAAGTTTAACACCTCAAAGCAGCACATACATATCTCATACCCTTCTGAGGGTCAGGAATCTAGGAGCAGCTTAGCTGGGTGATTGTGGCTCCGAGTCTCTCACGAGGCTGCAGTGAAACTGCTGGCCAGGGCTGGAGGACCCCTTCCAACCTCACTCCATGGCTGTTGGTGGTGGCAGGCTTCAGTTCTCCATGTGGCTCTCTCAATGTAATTTCCCCCAGAGTGAGTTGTCAGAGAGAATGTGCAACCAGTAATTATCTGTTAGCACATGTCATTTCTGGCACATTCGATTGGTCACTCAGACCAACTCTAATACATGCGAGAGTGACTATGCAAGGGTGTGGGTTCCAGGAGGAGAGCATCGTCGGAGCCATCTTGGAGACCGGCTAATGCACAGATGAGTGGTACATTTTATAATACGGGGTCTTTCTGAGTGTCAATGTGGTGTGTTCCTATATGAACTTAATTCTGTTAAACTTAATTAAATTCTAGGTATGCTCTCAGCAAAGATTTTTACTTTCTTCAATACAGGTCCCCACACTGTTACATTCATTCCAAGTGTTTCATATGTCTTATTCCTATTACGAAAGGATTTTTTTTCACATGGTATTTTCTAAGTAGTTGTTGCACTCATATAGGAGATGCTATTGATTTTGACACCCATGATTTTACAGTGGAGACAAGGCAGAAACTACTCCAGACTCACCAGCTATCGCCCTTCCTTACGTGGTGGCCGTGCCAGGCTCAGGCACGCTGAGATGATGGGGCTGTCTGGCCATCACTGGTCATATGGACTTCAGCTTTGAAAGGATTTTATGTGGAAACAAAGTGCCTGATAGGAGTCTCCAGGACCCCCATTTCTGCCCTCCTTGGCTCCCGCTGGCAAGGCTGGCTCAGTCCCTATCACCTTCTCCTGGACTTCTGCCAGAGTCCACTGGCTGTTCCCCCTGCCTCCTGCTCTCCCAGTGCCCTCTCCACACTAGTGCCAGAGCTGCTTCTAAGAGATCCCTGAAAGCCCTCCTAAGCTTCGGAACCCCAGGGGACATGGATGGTTTCTTCATGGCCACTTCCCAGTCTTCCTGGCATAGGGAGGCCTGGTTTGCCTGCATTTCCCTCTCTGGGGTGAATCCCTGCTCCATAGATGCTGAGCCCCCAGAAGTTCGTTCTTTTAGATCACATTTGCAAACTTTCGACATGCATTATAGTTCAGTTATCTGAATTATGTAAGTATATCCTACTCATTGTGAAAAACAACACAGAGTTGTCCAAAGTCTTATTTCCCCCCATTCCAAGAAGCTAAGAAGCAATGCTAAACAATTAGATGTGTGATCTTCCGTATTTTTCCCTTTGTCTCCACAGAAGTAATTGAACATACAGAATTTTGAAAAATGGATTACCCTGTGCATAGTATTCCGCACGGTGTCTTTTCATTTATCAACGGTGGCCCCTTCCCTCGACAAACAGACAGTCGACCTCACTGTGACAGATGTAGAGCTCCACGCTGGGCAACCCACTCCCACGGAGGGACATTCAGGTGCTTTCCAGTCACTTGCACAACAGCGTTGCGTGCGTGTACCTCCCGGGCCCGGAAGAAACTGCGTTAGCGTGCAGCATTAAACATGCCACATGGGCCGGTGAAAAATGAAAGCAAAATAAAAACCAGTTGAAAGGCGGCAGAAAACCTGTGTGAATACTCCGTGGCTCTCCTGCCTGGTTTCCAGCCGCGGACTCTGCTCTTCGGTGGACACCTGCTCCTGGGGTCCACAGGGACCCCGCTCACCCAGGTTGCCAAGACGAGTGCCTCCCCGTGCGGCCGCCAGGGGGCGCCCCAAGCGGGCCGAGCGCCGCCGCCGCCCAAGAGAATTGACTGGCGCGAGGGCGCCGAAGCGCGCCTTTCCAGAAGCCGGACCCTGCTCGCTCCCGGGCTGCCATCCGCGGCTGGGTCACGCTCACGTCGCTGCGATTCGGTGTGTCTTGGCCTCCCGCCCCGCTTACCTGGGAGTGCCAGGGAGCACCCCGCCCCCAGCGCGATCCCCTCGGTCGCACAAAGTGGGCGCTAGCGGGGGTCATTGTGGTCCGGCCGCCTCCCACCCTCCCCAGGATCCTCCAGGGTGGCGCCATCGCCATTCGCGCCTGCCACCAGCCGGCCCATGTAGAAAGCTGCTGCTTTCTACAGCGTTGTCTCTGCCCCATGCCCTCTTGTGGTCGTAGGCATCCGGTGGCCCGGGAAAGACAGAAAGAAGCTGCCACAGGAGCCCAGACACGCCGGGGACCTTCCTCCCCTTATCTCCTCTCTGGATTCGGGCGTCCCCCACCAGCCACGGTGAGGGCGAGAAAGAGAATAGCTGAATGGAGACGGGGGAGGACCCCAGGTCTCAGAAAGTGAGGGGAGCCAGGACTCCCGCAGGGGAGTTGGTGCAAGGCCTGAAGTGGGAGAAGAGTGGCTGGCAGATGGGAGTCCAGGACCACATCTCTGCAGGGGACAGGCGAGTCCTGTGCAGGCTCCAGGAAGGTGTGGATCACACTGGGACCAGACAGCTGGATCTGGGCGCGTCACCTGACTACCCTGCAGTGTCCTGGACACTGCCCAGCTAAGCAGGAGCTTCAACCCTGTGGGCCTACAGCTCATCTGAACCTGCTTAGTCTGTCTTCCTGTCGCGTTAACCTTGCCGAGGGCCAAGAGCCCGACTCTCCACCCCACTTCCATCACTCTTGGGTACCTGATCCACCTTCCACCTTCATGGGCAGGGAAGGAGACAGGAAGGTCACCAATCCAACCAAGCCACAGTGCCAAATTCTCTTGGTTCATTTGTTTTCCCCAGTCGAGTTATGTTTTCAAACCATGAACAGATTCATAGTTGCTAGTGAATGCCAAATTTCAAAATGAGGGAGTCCTAATAGGGTGACTTGTCCATTAGGTAGCCATAGGTGAGCCATTTACTTTCTCTGAGCTTCAATATCCTTGTCCCAATAAAAAGCATTTGTGATTAGCTCTGAGCACATATTTAGGGTGAGCTTTTGCCCTAAATATGAGCAGGTGGGTTTCCTCCTGGCAGAAGGCAACATCCTGCCCTTCCAGCGTGCTTCTGATCAGGGCACAGAGAAGAGCCAGGTTCATCTTCTTTCTTTTTGGTCAACTCCAGACATCTGCAACAAACAACAAGATTAACAACAACCATTACAATTGGCCCCTGGAGGGTTTATCTGTCAGGACATGCATGGCTGTAGGATCTCATTATAGGCCAAATGGAAAGGATGTCTGCTTCCTTTCTGTCCTGCAATTCCACGATAAAATCCCCTCCGGTTGTCTCTACTGATTCCATTTTGTTTTCTTTCTTGGCCATAATACAGATAGGAGGAAAAATCTTTCTTCTCCCAAGGCGAAGTTTTAAACACATCACCTCAGAATGCCAAATGTTCTGGAAAAGAAGAGAGAAAAGAAGAAAATTGGCAACGAAGGAGCCGGCAGAGAGACTGGGGCTGAGGGGGCTGAGGGGCTCAGCAGCTCCTGGCAGGCTCCTCTGGTCTCTGTTTGAAATTGGCTGAAAAGACATGGAATTTAGCAGGCAAAGCTGCCTCCTTCTCCTCCTCTTATCTGCAGAGGAGAGATCGGTTCCCAGCTGGTTGGGGCAGTGTCATCGATACAGCTGGTGTCATTGTTACCTTCCACTAACAGATCACTCGACACCTACTGGCCCAGGCAGGGCTAGGACTGGGTATTGCCTGGCTGAGCTGGAGGCTTGGGCTCTCCTCATTGTCCCAGAACCCCAGGTGAGGCCAAGACATGAGCTCTGCTGGGATGCTGCGCTTAGTGAGCCAGCAAAAGGACTAGATTGCTCCTGGTGGCTGCTCTACCTTGCAGAGTCCCAGCTGCCCCTTTGGTTCCTGTTGTCTGGCCTCTTTAGCTGTCCTGGGTAGAGGAGATGAGTCTGTCGCTGGCTGCGAGCTGAGGCCAACTGAAGATGCTGCATAGAGAAGGGGCACCAAGAGTGGTCCTGGATTGACGAGTGGAGAGCCGCCCTTCAGTCGTTCTGCCTGGCCTTGCTTCTTCGGCCGGCTGCCCTTCCGGTGCGTGCATCCCAGGCGGTATCATGCTGCAGCAGATCCTGCACGACATGTACATCGACCCCGAGCTCCTCGCCGAGCTCAGTGATGTGCAGAAGCACATCCTCTTCTACAAGATGCGGGAAGAGCAGCTGAGGCGCTGGAGGGAGCGGGAGACTTGGGAGGCCCTGGCCCAGGACGAGGGGCTCAGGCCTCCAAAGACCAAGCGAGGTACGTGGCTGGGAGTCATGGAGGGGCAGCCTGCCAGTCCCCCAGGAGGTAGAAAAATCAGCAGGGCCAGGCTGTGCTCTTCTTCAAGATGGGCACTGGGGTGATGAGGGCTGGGGGCTTGAGACCCTTGTCCGGTGGGCATCACATCCCATGAGCCTGGGCTTTTGTCTTTTGACCAGGACTTTGGGCTTCGAGGCTGCTGCAGAGGTGTCCAGGGGCCCTATTGGGGTGGGGGAGTTGGGACTTGCTTTGTCTTGTTGTGGAAAGCCTGAGTTCTGGGAAGACACCAGAGACTTCGGATTGTGCTCTGACGTAGGTGGCAATGGCAGGGTGAACAAGGGCATATGTGTGACCCTTGCCATTGGGTCTGGGCCAGGGTGTGGTATTGACATGCAGTTCCTCTCTCCCTGGCATGCGTGGCACAGCAGTTCTTGGCTAGGGCCCCTTTCTGTGGATTGTGCCTCTTCCTCCAGATCCTCCAGCGGGAGGATGCTGTGGGTTATGCCTGGAGTTCCACTGGGCATCCGGAGAGAGGGCATCAGGGAATGTCCCATACAATGAATGACCAGCCCCAAGTGGTTGTAGCAACTGTAGTTGAGAGCCTACATTTCAGGTGTTTTGTATGAAAAGTCATGTGCCAGTCAGTCCTGTGGACTGGTATACCTGTGGGTGAAGGAGGTCGTTCTGGACCCCTGGGCCAGAAGCTGGTTGGCTGCTGAGGCTTGGGTTGGCACAGAACTCAATCCTGCTGGGGATGGTAGTTTCTGTGGATGCTGCATGCACTTTACAGTTTGCAAGGCTTACGTGCCTTTGCCCTTTGAAGTTTTCAATCCAGGACAAAGCCCTGTTTCAGAGCTGAGCACACAGGCCCCTTGGTGATGTGGCCCTTCTCCATGCCAGGCTCACTGCTGGCCAGTCCCCACCAGGTGCCACAGGCCACACTTGCACCACCTGGACATGCTTGCTCTTGCCTCTGGTCTTCACATGAGTGGCTCTTGCTGTTGGAAATGTCCTTCCAACTTCACCTACCTGACAGATTCCATCAGACTGGCCCCCTGCCCTGGAATGTTCAGGGATGCCCTTGCATAGGGCAGTGCTTGCTCCTTTGTGGCTGCCTGGCATATAGGACCCACCCCTGCCCTGGCACTTGCCACCCTGTCATTATCATTCCTCATCTGCTTTCCTGGCTCTCCGATGGACTCAAAGGCACTGGCACATGAGGCCTTACTCCACTCTGCCTTCCTCTCCTGGGCCCAGCACAGTGCTGGCACACAGTGTTAAATCCTGGTTTTGAACAAGACACAGCAGGACTCTTCAGGGAGGTTGGGGCAGAGCTGTGATGTGGCTGTAGGTGGCTGGTGCCAAGGTTGGGGCCCTCTGGGCTGGGCTGCACTGGCAGCTGCATCACTAACTGGTGAAGTGGCAAGCCGTCTTGCCAGCCCCACCCGGCCTGAGCCCTGGGAACTCGCATTGCCTGCGTGATAATTCTTCTGGGAGGGAGACAGATGCCTAAAAATTTAACTGGAAAAATATTTATACAGAGATTTGTCACACATTGACATCTACATTTTCATGTATAAATTATACATTAAACTCATTCAGCTTCTGGTGCAGAAGACCCTTTCTCTAATAAGTAATTTTCTGATTTATAAAGAATGGAAAAGCGGGGAAGCGCACCCAGGAATGTGTGTATCCCAGGTCAGGATCTTGCTTGGATCTCGGCTCTTTGCTTCGGTCCTGGGTTTTGGAACTCTCTGGGCAGGCTACTGGGGAGCCTGGGGGCCAGCCCTGCCCAGAAGCCTGCAGAGCTTTCAGCTGGAGGGTCCAGGGGGTACAGGATCTGCTTCATGTCCTGGGGTCGTGATGAAGGAAAGCAACAGCCCACGAGCTTTATGTCGACTGGGTGCCTACCCAGCCCTTGCTGCTCCCATATCTCTGCAGGGTGGCAGGGCCACCTTCAGATAAGGAAGGTGAGGCTCAGAGAAGTGACATGCTACATCCAAGATCACCCAGCTGCTACATCCCATGACTTGGATCTGGGGTCTGGTGACTGAATTTTTTTTTTTTTTTTTCCATTCATTCACTTCCAAACTCGGGACTCCAATTAAACAAGTGATCTGTGCACACATTCATTTCTTCCCTCATTCACTAATCTGTTCACTTTCCAGCATTACTATGTGCCAGCTTTGGTGATTGGGACAGTGCTTGTCCTGGAGACAGTGGGTAGACGGATCATAGGGAGCATAGCCGAATTGAGTGCCAAGGGTGAGGCTTTGTGCAAAGCAGCCGTGCCGTGTCCCAGGGCGGGGAGTGTGTAGGGATCCCCCCACGGAGGGATCTTCTTTTCCTTCCCTTGATGTTGCCAGAGGACGCAGGAGGTCCTCCAGATGCGGGTGAGACCCCAGCCCCAGCTGGCGTCCAGGCTGTTGACACTGTCTTGAGAAAGAACTCGGAAATGGGTCAGGATGATACGAAAGGCAAGGAACTGTTAGTGAGACGTGAAAGTACACGCTTGAGCGAGAAGTGCGGGCGTGCTCATCGGAACGTGTCATTCCCCGCAGAGTCTGGGTTTCTAATTTTATGGGTGTTTCTTTAATTAGGGGATGGAATAATTATTAGGCATTCTGGAAGAAGAGGAGATTTCAGGGAGCCCCCTGGGTTACTGTCCCCTTTCTTTCTTCTTTGGGTTTGCCAAGAAGAGCCATGGACAAGTCACCCTGAATGGGATTTCGGCTGTTTTTGCTCTCTTCCTTTGAGTTTTCTGTTATGTTGTTGTTTCTTTGCCTTGTTCTTGTTTTAGCTGTTGTTTGGGGTTTTCCATGCTCCCGTGACCACCCAGTGCTATTCCTGTCTCACTGACAGGCATCCTCTTTCCTGGTCCCCTCCCCACACATTTGTTCTGAAGGAAGCACCTGCTGTGCCTCTGCTGAACTGTGTGCTGTCTGTCCCCTTGGGATCCCTGAGCACGACTTGATTCAGTCCTGGTCAGCCTAGAGTGACACTGGGTCTCCTCCGGGCCCTCGTCCCCAGTCCTGCCTGTGCTCTAAAGCCTCCCCTCTCCCTTCTTTCCTGGGAACATTCCTCGCTCCTGGCAAGCCTGGCTTTGCCATCCCTTGGACTCAAGTTACACTCTCTGTGGCCCTATAGACAGGCAGGCAGGGCAAGGTGTGCCTGAGAACCTCATAGCCGTGGAGTTGTGCCTGGAGAGAGTGCAAGTAAGCACTGGTGATGTGGATCATTCTCGCTTACAGAACCTCGGAGGTTTTCTTGACTCTGGGACCCACATTTGGAACCCACAGAAGTAAGCTGGGGTGAAAGCTTAGAGGTAGACTGTGAAAGGTAGGAAGGAGAGGAGGTGGGGGCACGCTGGACACATCACTCCTCTGAGCATGTGGCATTTCATTTCATTTTTTTTTTTTTTTTGAGTCTGAGNCTTACTCATAACTCATTCCATTTTCTTTTCCTTTTTTCTCTTTCTTTTTTCTTTTCTCTCTTTCTTTCTTTCTTTCTTTTTTTTTTTTTTTTTTTGAAATAAGTTCTCGCTCTGTCTTCTAGGCTGGAGTGCAGTGGCACAATCTCAGCTCACTGCAACCTCCGCCTCCCAGGTTCAAGTGATCCTCCCACCTCAGCCTCCAAAGTAGCTGGGACTACAGGTGTCTGCCACCATGCACAGCTAATTTTTGTGTTTTTTGTAGAGGTAGGGTCTCAGTAGGTTGCTGAGGCTGCTCTCAAGCTTCTGGGCTCAAGCAATCTACCAGCCTCCTAAAGTGCTGGGATTATAGGTGTGAGATTCCACGCCTGGCCTCTCATTCAATTTCCATTTCTTGTTTTAGGATTTGAACTTGAGTTTTAGCCTGACCAATGCTGCTTTTTTTCTTTGCATTTACTTGGGGTATATTTGCCTGTATCTTCCCCCCGCCCCACCCCCAGCCTTTTGATGCCATTTTGTTTTAGGAGGCTCTTTTGGAAAATGTATATGAAATTGCATACAGTATTTTAAAACTTACTTGTGTAAATATATTCTAGCCCATTCTCTTTATCAGGAATGAAACACGATCTATGGAAGATGAGAAGCATAGGCTGTTTTTATATTCTTCCCTGTGATTTTGTTGGTGCAATCAAGGATGGTAACATCAGATTTCAGCTGATTTTGTTTACATTATGTATTTCGTCTCTCGAGATTTAGTTTTTTGCTTATGGTAGAGGTTTTATAATCAAATCACAATAACAATAGTTATTTGGATGTTAACTCCACTTTGTGCTGGTTTCATTGCTCCCTACATGTTTTCCCTCTGAGGGGCAGTGATAAATACTTTGTTTCCCTTTGCCCCACTGTACAAGTGATTTGTCCAGTCAAGCAGCACACCCTTCCCTGTTGGGATTCTCAGCACATTACACTGAAGTCACTAAGCACCAAGGGAAATTCTTGCTTAAAGCTGCCTTGCGCCCCATCCTTATTCTTGCTGTCATAATATGTTCTTGGGACACTAGATTTTGGCATGCTGATTTTCCTCAGCCTCCTTCAGTTTTTGTTGTTGTTGTTGTTAGTTCCAACAGCTTTTTGGTTGGATCATCTAGGGAGCAATGCTGCACAGGAACACTGGGAAGTTGAGGGAGCAGATACCCTGGTTATCTGGAACGTAGCTCTTTGTAGCTGTTGTTCATGACCCGTTTCCTGGACACTGGGGACAGTGATTCTAGAACAGTGCTGGGAGGGGGAGGGAGGGGTTAGGGAGGTGACTGACAGAGTCTCCTCCCTGGTATTTCTTAGTTATGTTTATTTACCATTAGTGCCCCATTTCTTTTGTTAAGAAAGCGTTTCTTGTCACCATTGCAAATATTCAAGGAACAATTCTCTGGAGGAAATACTTGATCCTGTGTGTATAAGGAGAGAAAATGAAGTGTCTAGGGGTGAGGGACAGTGTCCACAGCCCTGTGGGGGACACTAATTTTTCCAGGAAGACAAGAAGTAAGAAGTCTCTTGTGCCATGAGAATTGGG